TTTTTTTTTTTTTTTTTTTTTTTTTTTTTTTTTTTTTTTTTTTTTTTTGATTAATAGGTATAGAGTATGTCATAATGCCTAAAGCCATAAAATTAGATAAAGTATACGAATCCTGCAAGGATGAATGGTGGTAATGTGGGAAGCAGAATGACTTAAACACAGGAACTCTGCAATTAGCAATATTGTTTTCACAGTTGCTCTGTATGTGGTTATAAAAGATAAGGGTCAACTTGGTTGTATCCATATTAACTATCTTGTGTCTTCGTAAAAACAGTTGAATGTAATGTTGAATATAAAAGCTAAGAAAATAGCTTTGCAAAATCGTAACATATTGAGATACTAACAATAAAAATTATACGAAAAAAAAGATATAAGAGAATGTTTGACTTTAATTTGCATAATCCTTTGCGCCCATTAATGTTCTTAACTGCGGTTTTAAAAATATAAAGATTTGTTCCTTAATGTACAAACTAAATTTATATTATATTTTTTCGCGTGAGGAGGAATTTAAAAGTTAATGAATTAATGCTAAATGGTAAAAGCAAAAATTCAAAACAGTCGTCAAAAAGTATTTAGCAATAAAACAATTTACTATAGAGAATGTTGCGTGAATGCTTTAAAACCATCACTTATATATAATCATTTTCTTAATCTTCTAAAACCAAACGATGCTTTCCTTTACTAAGGTATTAATATATGAAATAATCTCAGTATGATTTGAAAGTAAAACGCATATTATATTGGAAACTCTAGTGAGCAGAGTTGGAACCATTGAGCTGTAGCCTACAGTGAACATTCAAATGGCTTTTGGAATTCGAATCTTGAAAATTCAGATCATCCTCGAACCGATTGAATTTCTTTTTTTCATATAGATTGGATTTTAATGTCAGATATAGAAGGCCGGGGAACACTCGAATAAATCGAGCTCAAACAGAGTAATTCTTTAGCATATTCGCTTTGCCATCGCCATTCATAAAAGACCTTGTCTCACCGACCATTGCGAACCTGTTAATGCTTGCGTTACAAATTACTGAAGGAAAAAAATTACATAAAAAAAGAAATTTTACCTGCTAATTCCGACGATACCTTCGACCAGACTATACATGATACAATCCACCCAAAAATTAGTAGTTTTTTAAGCTTCATTTTAAAGAAGTAGTGAGAATTCTAAGAGCGCTCGTCAACAGAAATCAGTTGCGCTTGGCTTGTTGTAATGTAAAAGTGAACTCCCGCACATGTCAAGTCGTGGCTTTTTTTTTCATGTTTTAGACATTAGTTCACTGCCATATTATACAAACAGCTTCCTTATCGATTAATGAGCACGTATTTTGATCGAAAACAGCTATAAACGGCTTAGAAATCTTCCTAAAGTGTGCATATAGTACTTTTTCATCAAAACATTATACCATATATTAAATGCTTGGGTTAACCGGAAGGCCGCTGACCCGTATGGGTGTAAAACTCCAGATTATTGATCCACACTCCGTTAGGATGACTTTCAATAATCAATTATCAATAAATGGTAAATAATTTCTAATAATTTTTTGAAATTAATAATTAATGTTTTATCTTTATTAAACCCCAATTACCTTTTTTTCCCTCCTAGTGTGTGTGGGATTTTGTTTTTTGTTTTTTGGGGGGAGGGGAGACAAGGGGTCGCCATTGAAAGAAATTTCATCCGACCAAATGTTTTTTTTTGATCAAATTTAAATGAATTTATTAAGAGAGAATTCTTTTCGTATTCAAGCGGTGAGCGGCAAAAGCTATTTTCTTGAAGAAAGGCTGTTGTACAAGGCTAACATCTTGTTATTCAGAAAGTTCAACTTGTTTGGAAGTGGAGATGACCGATGAAAGTGGAATCAAAGTGTTAACCCAAAGCAAACATTTTATTCGAAAATGAGGTTTAGGCCTTCATTTGCTTATTTCCCACACATTTTCTATACAAAAAGCCTGACAAAGCTACATTCTAACACAAATGCAACCAAGCATCTTTGTACAATTGAAAATACCGCTTTAAACAGGCATTTTATCATAGTACATCAGATTCTAACTGTTAAGAACGGGTTTTGAGTGTTAACCCAAAACGACAATTGGGATCAAAACTCGTACGAGAGTCTATTTTTTGGCGCTTTATGCCAATATTGCTCGTCATTAAAAAGATATCCTCTTAATGTTCAATTAGTAAATATAATCCTTCATGCTCTAGAATATCGTGGTTCTGATGGCAAGGCCTCCGGGCACGTAGCACAAGCCAAAACATTAATGTAAAAATAATAAATGACACGTGGTCGATCGTTTTTATTTTTTCTTCTAAGCAAATTAATTGACATTTTTAGAGGCTGTAGATGCTAAAAAATATAAGGCTTTGCAACAAGTTTGTTAGTGAATAAAATGATTTAGCAAAATCAATTCTTACAAAAATTAAAATCTATCCAGTAAAAAGGACGCGCACATTCAGGCATAAAGCTTTCGTTGAGTCTAGTGAATTAAACATGAAATTTGTCTAGTGAGCCAATATCTAATAAAAGGTTTAGTAGATAGTTGTAAACCAACTAGCGTAGCGTGACTTGATTGTTTGATTAAATTCAAATGTACTTTGTCTATATTTACTCAAGCCAAGACGTCAATGTATGTTCTTTTGAGTAAGGGTCGGAGGGCCGTGCTGAGTGGAAGGGTCACGAAACAGCTAGTCTCGCGTGGTTTGATAAGAATGAAAGCCTAATTTGTCAAACATGATTTAAAGTGCATAAGTCGGCCATTAAACCAGAAAAAAAGGATAGTTTATAGTACGAATGATATCAGCTATAGTCTTAGAGAATACTTAATGAAAATATCAATAGAAGTTGAGTATACAATGACGGCTAAGAATGACAGCGGGATGACAGCGACAAATCTTAGTCCCTGGAGCGACCTGTCGTCAGAAATAAAGATTTTTAAATGCTGTTCCAAGCTTGATATTCTGTCACAGTATTTTATATCAATGTCGCAGTGTTATGGCCGCGCTATAGTGAGGTCAGACTAGCGACGGTTCGGTCTGAAAATAGAGCATTTATAATCAGTTAAGTTTATTTGCCTGAAGCAGGACGCGCGCGGGGGTGAGGCATTGATATGCAAGAGAAGGGCTTTGTAGCGCGCAAGAAAATGCAATGTTCTTGTTTCAAAAAAATGTAGAGTCTGTATTGATCTACCGTAGAAGCCCGGTTATAAGCCGACGTGGCTTTATACAGTTTCGTAAGGTTTATTTATTTATTTATCTATTTTTTGATGGGCTTATGATCAGGGGACTAATAACCTGGGGGGAGGGGGTGGGGGTCCATATAAAATAGGGAGGCGAAGAAAAACTGAATCCTTTGTATCATGAAAAAAAATGTATGGTCTTCATGCAGCAAAAGCTGTAAAGCTTTGGAACGTGAATGTTATCATCAGAAAAAACTATACTCTGAGCAGGTTGTCAATGTGCAACGGTGCTTACTAAACCGAGGGGGGGTGGGGGGTGATGGGGAGTGGGGGTTTAAGACCAAGAGTACACAAATCCATGTTTGAATATATGCCTTTGTAAGATATTCAGCTCTATACATGCAGATACATTAGTTGAAGCAAAACAAATTTTTCTAAATATAATTGTTGATGATTAAAATGATGTTTCAAATATCTGTTGAAAATAGATTGTGCATGTAATCAGCGATGCATGCTAGGAGGGGTGGTAGCGAATTGCAACTGGCGTAAATCCACTGGTGCAAATCAGAACCCCGTAGTTCGTCAGGTAGCATAACTAGTATTTTCTGAACGAATCCAACTGATCGGAAATTTTAATACCTCTATTAAGACTAATGTGTACATGCTGATCATGAATACATCGCCTTTCTATGAAAATCTATGTAACTAATAAAAGATGTTCAAACATTGTAAAGTCGACAGGAAATCTGTTCAATGGCTATTCCGGAACAACGTGTTTGAATTGTTCGTAAATCCCAAGAAGGGATTGCGCTTGTCAGCTAGGATTTATCTTATAATGAAGTCAAATTCTTTACAATTCAGGAGCTTTTCGAATGATGGAGGAATGCAAACAAGCTAAAATGAAGAAATTGGTTGATGCTGTCGCATGTTATACAGAGAACGTTTTCTCTGCTCTCCTCTCCTCTCCTCTCCTCTCCTCTCCTCTCCTCTCCTCT